ACCTGCCACAGCCTACCCGATTAACTAGTGTCCTCTCTCAGTCAAATAATCGGAGTTTGGTGTCCTCACGATGATGGAGTCTTTCCGGGGAGGCCTGGGTTCCCCCAGGAGCACGGTGCTGGGTTCTTGATATTGGAAGCCATGATGGAGACACAAAGGCCCAGGTGACTAGCGTCACTCTTGGTCACGGGGAAACAGATCTGGGATGACAACCTAGGTCTCCGGACTTGAAGCTCCATGCCTGATCTGCCCTGACCATTGGGTGGCCTCAGGCAAGTCTCCTCCCCTCTCTGGGCCTCAGTTTCCCCTTCTGTCTAACAAGGGGTTCCTACAGGCTCTGACAGTCTGTAGCCTAGGACTTGGCCCTGACTTTGGTCTGCCAGCGGTGATGGCTTACATTGTCTGAAAGGGTTAAATTCCAGTTCTTCCCATTTATTACAATAAATGGCACTAAGCGGACTGTGAGTCATTTACTGTGTGGAGGATCCTTGAAGGATTCTTAATGCCTTTGGAAGCGGGGTCCCTGTCTCATTACACCTGGAGGCCATGCTGCATCTGCACCATGCTCGGGCAGAGGCATCTGTGGGACATCCCATCGCGAGAGGTCCCCGAGGGGCTAGTGGGTGAGGCAAAGTAACCACTGGCGGATGTGAGCACTGACAGGCAGCCCATACATGGAGTGTGCCTGGCTGGGGGCCCTTAGGGACCACTGACTCCAGCCCAAAGGGGACAGAGAATAGGCAAATCAGAGGGGGCTAAATGAGGTGGGGACAGCCTCCTGTTATAGAAGGACACTTGTCAGGACAGAGGCAAACCTGGGGCAATGGGGCTCAGAAAGGTGGGTCCTGGCTCAGGTCATGCTCAGCTCTGAGGAGGCTCCCTTCTTTCCCTCTCTAATATGCCCAGCCCATCTTGCTCATCTTACAGGGCTAAGCTGGAATCCCTCCTTCTTTCCTAGGAAGACTTCCCTGCCTGCCAACAAGTAGGCCCTGCTCTTCCTGGAGAGGCCTAAGTCTCTGTGTGGTTCCTTTCATTAAGCCTTTGCTGAGTGCCAAGTCTTGCCCTCAAGGTGTTACCTGCTTTGGGTCTTCAGGCTGCCCCTGCCAGGTGGGTACCATGTTTCCCATTATATGGACAAAGAAACAGAAGCTCAGAGAGGCAAAGTGACTTACCTATGCTACCTGAGATTCTGATGCCAAAGCTTTCACTCCTCGTGCCCAGACTAGACCACTCTTCCTGGGCATACCCCCAAGCTCCTGGAGATGCCACTCAAAAGTTCTTATGTCAACAATTCCTGTATTCTCCCAATGGCCAGGTTCTGTGCGGGGCCCTGAGGAAGTGACAGGGACAAGGGAGACTCAGGCCCCAGCTTAACAAGAGTCCAGTGTGCAAGCATTTTCCTGAATCAGAGATGGAGGCTATGGGCCCTCTGTGTGTGTGTGCGCGCGCACGTGTGCGCGTGTGTGCAAGTATGCGCGTGTGGGTGTGTGCGCGTGTGCGTGCGTGTGCGCGTGCGTGTGCATGTGTGTGTGTGTGTGTGTGTGTGCGTGCACGTGTATGTGTCTTGGGAAGTGGGGACAGGAGAGTGAGGACTGGCCTGGAGAGACCTGTCTAGTTGAGGTGGGGTCTGGGAGGGCTTCCTGGCATAAGCAGTATTTATGGGTCCATAAATATCATGGGTTCAAGTGGTAGGGATGAGGGAGTATGTTCCTGGTGGAGGGAACCATAGGAGGAAAGTGCTAGGAACACCGGGAGCTGTCCAGCCCACTGGCTAATGGAGGGCAAAGGGTGATGAGAGGGAGGCTGGAGGTGAGCACGCTGGAGTGGGGATATTGCTGTGCCAGGTGTCCTGGGTGGACATTCCTGATGGGCTTCCTCCTCCCTTGTGTGGCATAACCAAGCCTACGACTTGCTTGGCCCATGGGAGGGTTTCCATAAAGACCTCTCAGTTTCTTCTGGTCTGCTGAGCTGACCTCCCCTCAGCCCGCGTGCAGAACTGGCACCGGCCAGGTCCCCTGCCACGGCTAGCCCTTCTCTGCAGGCTGCAGCTTTACCTGCCACTGCCACCCCGTGTCTTCTTCCAGCACAGGCACCTCTGGCCAGGTAGGTAGTCTTTGCTGCCAAACATATCAATGTGCCTACCATGGAAGTCCCCCCATTTCTGGGAAGACTTGATTTTTCCTCCCATGATTTTAAACTGGGGCTGGAGCCAGCCGCCAGGAGGCTGAGGATGTTGTGAGCCTCAAAGTTGGAATGTGTAAACTCTTACTACCAGTGTACTCTTAATTACCTTCCCTCCTTATTTGTCTTCCTTTAACGGCCTGTCAACCCAAATCTCCCGCCTTTCCCTCTGTGCCAGCAGCCTCAATTAGGTGCACATCTGTGGAGGCTGGAACTGAAATGCCCAACTACCAATGCCCACTCACCACACCCAGCCTGGATACAGCTACCTGATGGGTTGGGCACTCTTCAGGTACAGTACTGCCACTCCGGTGCCGAAGGGCAGAGAGACTACCCCAACACTTCTTACCCTGCCACTGCAGAGCCTGCCTTGGGAAGGTTCCCACCTAACCCCAGAGGGCACCTAACCCCAGAGGGTAACACCCTTTGTGCTGGGTCCCTGGAGCCATGCGCTACAGGCTTTTATCCAGCAAATAGATGGGGGAGGACACCATGCGCCCATCCTGCCCTGGGTATGGGGGCTGGGAGGGGGTTGGTTAGCTCAGGGCATGTCGACTCTTCTGTGCAGAACCTCACCACCCCCACCCCCTCTGTCTAGCCTGGAGGGACTGCCCAATCCAGAGGTGGGGGTGGGGACATCTGGCACAATCAGGCATAGGGTTCGGTGAGAGCCCTGCTTGTCCCCATACAGCTGGCCCAGCTTGGCCTCCCAGAGTCCACTAGGCCCCTCCTGGTCCCCAGGCCCCAAGCCTGTCAGGGGTTCGGGGCTCAGGGCACTGCCTTCCTCGGATAATGTTTCGGGGACCTCAGAGTTTGGGACCTATTGGCAAACCTCACTCAGATCAGGGGAGAGGGAAACTTCAAAGCTGTCCCCTTGTCAAGCCCTGGCTTGTGAGGGTGGGGCAGGTGTGGGACAGCCCAGGCAGGACTGGCGAGCTAGTAAGGGTTGTCCTGAGCCTTATTTCCAGCCCCTGACCTCTGCCCTCCTTAGCCCAGGGGCCACGATTCTTCCCTCAACATTAAGTCCACCTCGGGCTGACCCGTGAGTGGGTGATGGGAGGCTCACCCCGATATCATGAAGTGGGGGCTCTTGCCAAGGTGGCTACTGTTCCTCATTCCTCATGTTAAGCGCAGAGTCTGTCCTCAGCTACTGCTGAAGGGGTCTTGCCCCAGGCCGGGCCGGCAGGAAACATTCTCCCATCCTGTCTGCACAGGGGGAAGAGCAGAGTTCCAGGGGCAGCTTCCGGGGAATCTCTCGGATGCTCTCTCCCAACCAAGAGCATCTCAGTTTACCAAGCAATTCACTCCCATTCTCACCACCATCCTAGAAATGCGGTTAAGCATCCACAAGAGAGGAAACAGGCTCTGAGAGGCCCACAAGCTGCAGGGTCAGAAGCCACACCAGCCCCAGCCTTCTCCCTGCAGCAGGGGGGAGCCAGGGGCCTCAGGACAGAAACGATTGGATTGTGCAGGGGTGAGCTTCCCGGCGCTGGAGGAGGAGGCTCTGGAAGCCTCGAGGCTGGGGCTAGGGGCCGGTCAGCACACAGTGCCTGCTTCGGCCGGTGAAGTAAATGAGTGGCTGTGGAGGGCTGCATCCTGCCATTCTCAGTCCCTCACAACTGTGCAGCTGGATCCAGGTTCCCGCTCAGGGATCCAGGAGACCCAAGCCCTTTCTTTCTGTCATGGCGTGGGGACCCGAGTCCCCTAAGAGAGGACTCTTGCAAGTGGCAAGAGCCACTGGGGGTGTGAGTTCAGCACCGATGCCCTCTTCTCTGGTCAGCTAAAGTCAGCCATTCCACCATTAAACCTGTGACTCCAGGCCTTAAGCCTGTTGAAGGTCGAGCCCCCAGAGGGGTCACACAGGCGCCTGCCGTGGGCCGCGGGGCCAGAAACTCCTACCGCGGGTGCAGCGGAGAAGGGCACGGGGTCCGAGGCTGGCGGACAGAGGCGCGCACGGGGAGGTCGGCCCACGGCTGGGGCGCAGGACGCGCGCGCACGGGCTCCGCTCGGCCGCGCGGGCCAGCAGGGCCGGCTCGGGGCTGCGCGGGCACGAGGGGCGCGC